TTCTGGAATTCCATACAGTGATGGTTACAAACTCTGTGAATATATTTAAAAACCACTGAAATGTATGCTTTATTAATTTTATGATATATTAATTATACCTTCGTAAAACTGTCATTTAAAATATGGCCAGAAAGATAATCTTTTTTCTTCCCTCCCCGGGGAAAATCAGGTAAATAATCACAAAAATTAGAGGTTTGTGTTGTATGAAGAACGAATGAAATACTGATTGTAGAATGTGGAAGTGTGAATTAAACTTTGAGACATAAAACTGCTTCTACAGTTTGGATGCTTTTCCCCAAAACCTCATGTTCAAAACTGATCCCCATGTTGAAGGTAGGTCCTAACAGGAGGTGTTTGTGTCAAGGGGCTGGATCCCTCATGAAAGGTTTAGTGCCATCCTCATGGTAATGAGTGAGTTCTCCCTCTATTATTAATAGTTCTCCTGAGAGCTGCCTGTTAAAAAGAGCCTGGCACGTCCCCTCTCCCTCTCTTGCTATGTGATCTCTGCACACACTGGCTCTCTTTCCCCTTCCACTGTGAATGGAGGCAGCCAGAGGCCCTGACAAGATGCAGATACTGGCAATATGCTTCTTGTACAGCCTGCAGAACTCTGAGCCAAATAAACCCCTTTTCTTTATATATTACCCAGCTTTGGCTGTTCCTTTATATGGCAACAAACAGACTAAAACAACTTCTAAGAATGTTGAGGCCATTTTGATTTTGGTGAAAGTAAATTCACTTAAGTATCCTTTATTCAGAAACTGAACTTTGTCAAGCTGAAGAAACTATACTATAAGTAAAGTTTTATTTTTATTGCAAAAAGTTCCTAGGCAGCTAAAAGAATACCCATTTATTTCAATTTCACCATCCCAGACCAACTCTATTCATAATTTAGACAAATAAAATCAGAAACCTAATATATAATATCCAGAAATTGTTGATTCTAAGATAACACACTGATGCATACAATGGAAACCAGAAACCATAAGCCTCATATTCTTTACTTCAAAGACACTGAGAAAATAACATTAAGCCAGACTGATGTAAAAGTTTCTTGTTGATAGAGCTCAAGAAAGTAAAAATTAGCTCATACTGAGAAAGCGAAACTCTGCCCTTCCACACTTCAAACTAGAACAGGAGACACAGATAAAACCAACTGAAAAGTTAACAACAAACAGTATTTCTTCCAAGGTCATTCTGCAGCTGTAAAATGTCATAATTACCTGGTTTTGAGCAATTACTGCTTTCTTACTCATCATGACACCTTGCCTTTTAAAGTCATAGGCTGTCAGATGTTTTGTAGTCTGATACATCAGAAAGAATGAAAGTGACTTTGATGTTAAGAAGCAGTTTTGATTTGCAACCCAGAAGCAGACTTTCATGAGAGGTTTCTGAATATGTCGTTTTACATTTAACTTTGTATTTTCTAAGGAAATAGGACCCTAGGTCCGTTATGCAATCTGGATGTGGTATTGACACTTTACACAGAGCCTACTTTGCTTTAAGCCTATCACATCACTGATCTCACTGAAGTTTCAACAGAATTCCCCCTTCGTCAAGATTATATAATAAACCCAGTGGGTGCCATGGGTCATGCCTGTAATCCCAGCACTTTGGGAGGCTGAGGTGGGCAGATTACTTGAGGTCAGGAGTTGAAGACCAGCCTGGCCAACATGGTGAAACCCCGTCTCTACTAAAAATACAAAAATTAGCTGGACATTGTGGTGGATGCCTATAGTCCCAGCTACTAGGAGGCTGAGGCACAAGAATCTTTTGAACCTGGGAGGTGGAGGTGGCAGTGAGCCAAGATCATGCCACTGCACTCCAGCCTGGGTGATGGAGATAGAACAAGACTCTGTCTAAAAAACAAAACAAAACAAAAGATTGTATCATAACCCTATTTCTTCCTTTGTCTGGTATAAGGTGTCCCTCATGTCCCTCTTTGCAAGAAGCCAACAATACTAAAAACTTTGGCCTGGTGGTCTTTGATTAAGTAGGACTATTTCTATTAACTTTTATATCATTATAAAATGATAAAAATCTCATTTGCTTTTAAAGGCTTCTTATTATCTCCTCTTCATCTTGAAGCTATTCTTATCTAGTTATCTGTTGTTAGGAAATTATTAAGTTGTTTACCTCAAGTTACAACATATATACTGGTATTATAATACTCACTGTCCATGGCCTCACTCGTTTTAGTTTGTGACTTCACTAGCATTTAAGTATCTTAACCTTACATATATCAGAAAGTATCAAGACTCTGCTGGGCGTGGTGGCCAGCGCCTGTAGTCCCAGCTACTCAGGAGGCTGAGGCAGGAGAATCGCTTGTACCTGGGAGGCAGAGGTTGCAGTGAGCTGAAATTGCACCACTGTACTCCAGCCTGAGCGACAGAACGAGACTTCATCTAAATAAAAAAGTAACAAGACTCTTTGTCTTGATGTGTTCTTTTTGGTCTGATTATGATAATCATGTAATAAGAGTTCTTCATCAATATTCTATAGTTTCTTTGTTAGATGTTTCCACTAAAAAACATACACCTGTAAAATAAAGACATTTTGCACTGAAATGCCTTCTTTTAAAAAACCATACTACAAAAAAAAAAAAAAAAAAAAAAACACTAATTGAAAACGTCAGCAGGGCTCAGTGGCTCACACCTTTAATCCCAGCATTTTGGGAGGCCGAAGCAGGTGGATCACCTGAGGTCAGGAGTTTGAGACCAGCTTGGCCCACATGGTGAAACCCCGTCTCTACAGAAAATACAAAAATTAGCCAGGCATCGTGGCGGGCACCTGTAATCCCAGCTACTCGAGAGGCCAAGGCAGGAGAATTGCTTGAACCTGGGAGGCAGAGGCTGTGGTGAGCTGAGATTGTGCCACCACACTCCAGCCTGAGTGACAGAGTGACACTCTGTCTCAAAAAAGAAAAAAAAGGAAAGAAAGAAAATTTCAACAATAGTTATAAGCAAATCAAGCAAATAAAAAAAACTAATTAATAACATTGATAGTAATTATCAAAGCATTGGTTCTATTCAAAGTAAAATTAAACTAAGCTATGTTCAATAAAAAGGATGCAGAATTTAGGGAAGAGCCAGACAGAATTAATCTTCCACCAGGGACTCCTTCTGTCAGAACAAAAATAAACTGTATGAATTGTACACCATGTCAAAAAGTATGCTATTTTCCTAAGGTTCATAGTTCAAAGTCTAAAACTATGAATAATTTCTACCTTAAGTTTTTGAGTCTGAGCTATCATATGTTAAAAAACAATTTTAAAAAATCATTTTGGGCCAGGCATGTGGCTCATCCCTGTAATCCCAGTACTTTGGGAGGTTGAGACAGGTGGATCATGAGGTCAGGAGTTTGAGACCAGCCTGGCCAATATGGTGAAACCTCATCTCTACTAAAAATACAAAAATCAGCCCAGTGCGGTGGCTCATGCCTGTAATCCCAGTACTTTGGGAGGCCAAGGCGGGCGGATCACAAGGTCAAGAGATCGAGACCATCCTGGCCAATATGGTGAAACCCTGTCTCTACTAAAAATACAAAAATAAGCTTGGCATGGTGGCATGTGCCTGTAGTCCCAGCTACTCGGGAGGCTGAGGCAGGAGAATTGCTTGAACCCAGGAAGCGGAGGTTGCAGTGAGCCGAGATCGTGCCACTACATTCCAGCCTGGTGCCTGGCAACAGCGTGAGACTCTGTCTCAAAAAAAAAATTAGCTGGGCATGGTGGCAGGTACCTGTAGTCCCAGCCACAAGGGAGGCTGAGGCAGGAGAATCGCTTGAACCCGGGAGGCGGAGGTTTCAGTGAGCCAAGATCACACCACTGCACTCCAGCCTGGGTGAGAGAGCAAGACTCGGTCTCAAAAAAAAAAAAAAAAGGAAATCATTTCAAAAATAGTACACATAAGACTGAATCTCAGAATGTATTTTCTCATAGAAGCAAAAGTAAAAACCACATTTTACACAAAACATCTCTGGAATCAAACCGTCTTTCAAAGGATAATTTTAAAAAACTTAAAAACATAATTCTCTTAAAAGCATAGTGAATTCTTGTCAAAGATTTACTTAAGTCATTAATGAGGGATCAGCAGCTTGACAAGACAGGTTTAAAGGAGATGCAAGAAACCAGTGTATAGATAGTAGAAAAAGGAATGCTGCAATAAGACTGCAAAATTAGATACAAACCTGGTTAATGTCCTACAGGACAGTAATAACATAACTCTGGGGATCATTTTTTATCCTAGCAAAAATAATTGCAATGTTTCAATCTTCTACAAGTTAATATCTAACTTTTAGGATCTGAATATTAATAGTAAATCCACCAATCTACTGTGGATGCAGTGTATATGGGATGGCCTCTTCTACTGTTTTACTTAGGGCTGAAATGAAAGTCCCAATGTAACATGCAATCATAATCTTTCACTTTGAGGCAACAACATAACCCTTCCCTGCTATGTCGGACAACCCTTAGACAGGCTTGTTAAGACAATGGTCTAATATGACCCTAAAATGCCCTATGTTTATCTTTTGCTTTATTTCTAAGTTTTGGATACTTTTTCTTATGACAAAAAGTTTCTGATTTTTATTTTTTCTGGAAAAATCAAGTAGATTCAGTACTCACAAATAAGCTTAAGAAATACAATGAAATAAAATATCTAAACCAATTTAAACTCATCTTAAGGCTATTTCCACAATGTTGATGTACTCTTGGTATTTTTTTAATGGCACAGTATTTGGGTCTTACAATGCAGCACAAGCATCAGACTATGTGATGAAAGGATATTTGATCATTAGTAATTATGATGTGACTATCTGGCTAGATTAGAGCTGCCACCTCTGAGAGAAACGAAATCTGTTAAATTGATGCCACCAGCCCTGGGGCTACCATACCAATCAAATAATCACTGTGAACTTGCAATTAACTGGCAACATTGAGAATTAGAGACAGTAAAATAGGCAATTTTCTCTGTATTCCTCATACCTACAATGGTAGATATTACCTTTACCAATTCTGTTTCTTCTGCCTGAAGGTGAAGATCTTCATCTGGCTTGGTAACTTCAGGGCTCTGATGGGATACAGGATAAGATCACTCAGTGACAGACTGCCTATGACCTATAGCACAGCCTCAACAGGCACCACCAATCTACTGTGGATGCAGTGTATATGGGATGGCCTCTTCTACTGTTTTACTTAGGGCTGAAATGAAAGTCCCAATGTAACATGCAATCCTCATCTTTCACTTTGAGGCAATGACAAATACATATAAGACTGAAATATAACTGCTTTTAACAAAGAACCTATCAAAACAAAAATAAACTTATAATAAGGGGCCTTCAGACACTACATAATTCTGCTTTTTCATACTGGGATGAAATCTATTTCTCAGAAAGTATCTAATTTGCTCAGGAATAATATTCAAAACCTACTAACACTATCTGTTTTCTACAACTGAAAATCATTACAGTGTTTGGTGAGGGGATATAGCTCAGTAGTCACTCAGGAAATATTTCAGCAACCTCTTATAACATTGTTTTCTTCCAAAACTTAGAAACTATCTCCATGAGGGCCTGATTTTTTTTTTTTTTTTTTTTTTTTTTTTGAGATAGAGTCTCTTGCTCTATCACTGGCCAGGTTGGAGGACAGTGGGGCGATCATGGCTCACTGCAACCTCTGCCTCTCAGGTTCAAGCAATTCTCTTATCTCAGCCTCCAGGGTAGCTAGGACTACAGGCACACGCCACCACACCCGGCTAACTGTATGTTTGTTTGTTTGTATGTTTGTTTTTTTGTAGAGAGAGAGTGTCTCCATTTTGCCCAGGCTGGTCTCGAACTCCTGGGCTCAGGCAATACGCCCACCTCGGCCTCCCGAAGTGCTACCAGGATTATAGGCATAAGCCACCATGCCCAGCCCATGAGGGCCTAATTTAATAAATGAAATGAACTTTTACTTCACTTTCTAGTAGTAGTTATCCATTTTAGATTTTGTGCCATTTAAAAAAATCATGGATAATAGAGCTACATACTTGAAGATCATTAGGAAAAATGTTACGCTAACTCTCCCTCAACAAGTTGTTGTCTAAAAAGAGCACATATATTCAGTTTCTAGAAAATTAACGCCAATGTGAATCCTCCATCTCTGATGGAGACAGACTGATAGGGTGATATATGACTAGACAAATAACTATACCTAGTGATCAATTGCAACATTTTGGTTTTATTTATCTTTTCAAGGGTATGTTTTAAGAATTATTTACACGTTGCATGTTCTGGCTACAAAGAATAAAAGACCACAATCAGGAGTTACTACCATTACTATAACAAATTACATTTGTTGGTATTATTTTTCTTCCGAATCTATTTTTAAAAGTCACTGCTAAAACACAGCTTTTATCACATTAATACTAATCCCAAGTACACTCAAACATACATACACATCTAAATGTCTTCAGGGAAACATTAAAAGATTCGTCTTAAATATCTAATTTCCAGCCCTATCTGCCACAACTTTCCAACTTGAATCACAAACTCACCCACTGTTCTCTGCCTCTGAAGCCTTGCCCTTAAACCCTTAAAACTTTCTCACCTGAAGTATTTTCACAAACACTTTATGACAATTAAAATCCCACTTGTAATTCAGTACCAGCTTAAATCTAACTATCCTCATGGGCTTTCTGTGACCAGTTTAGCCCACACTAACATCCCATTTCTTTCTTTACATAGCACTCATCATCTTTATCATACTGATAAGCAACTACTATTCATCTAAGTAATGTCATTATTACTTTTTTATGTTTTCTCTACAGCCAAGCACTGTCTTAAACATATTCTTTCTCTCACTGTCATCTATTAAGCCCGATCACTTCTTTATGGGTAGAAAAGAGATCACTGAGAATGGCACAAGGGGAATTGTTCCTATGAATTAGGGCTGGGATATGTGTTTGTGTATATATATTTTCCCCAAAATATCCTAAATAAAATTTCCCAATTAAAAAATATTCCATTCTGCTGTCCCATAAATAACTGATATTTCCTGGGAACAATACAAATTTAATATCAAAATTAAAGATACCTGTCATAACTAACGACAGCTCAGATATTTTTTGAAAGATCATGTATCCTGATATTTGGTTAAGTAAGAATACTGCATCCCTCTATAGTTTACAGTCTTTACTGTGAACCCAATTTTCATGGGTCTATTTAGTTGATTTCCCAGAAGGGGTGTCGGTGAAATAGAGAAGTCACAAGCCTTCAGGAGAAGTAAACATACTCTCAAACCAAGACAGTAGGTCAAAAACAGGGAATCCCCACTTACCAGAGGTCCAACAGAAAAAAACACAGCAGCCATAATCTCTGCTTCTGTGTTTCCCTCTCTGGAAAGAGTGGCGTTTTGCAAAGACATACCTAAGGAAGAGAAATAAGCCATGAAAAACAATCCTGCCTTGGGAATTTCAGACACACCAAGTTGGAATCCTGACATACAAGTGAGCATGACCTCCCTAAGGAAGCACAAGAGTAACCCTTAAGATCAGTGAGGGACAAAGACCCTTGCTCCTGCAGAGTTTGATTTCGGCACTGTTAACTATAGTCACAACTAACAGACTAGCCATTGTACAAAGAATTTTAAAAATACTTTCTCATTTTATTTTCACATTAACCTAATAGGAATAATATTCCCATTCCATAGATGAGGAAACTGAGGCCTAGAAAAATTAAACTACCCAAGGCCATGCAGATACATAACTCCAAATCAATCTAATTCCAAAATCCACACACCTTTTCCACTGAATCAATATGCTATGTGAAGTACAAGAAAATACTTCAATCTTTCTTTGCCACTCATCTAACAAATATTCTAAGAATCTTTTCTTGCCTTTTCCACGAAGTCAATTTCCTAACATTTTAGGAGATCTGTTTCATGTAAAGAGAACACTACAACTTCAAAATTTAAATGATATTGGAAATCTTGACTTACCCCCTCCCAATCTGATATTCAAATAGATCTTTATCCTTTCTATATCAGGCAAACTTCAATAAAAAGGAAGAAGGTATAATAACAGAAGAGACATGAAATTAGGTGCACAAAGCATTAAGCTATAGTCTTTTCATACTGAAAAAAAGCATATACCTAGTAAAAGTTTTACTCTATGGGAGAATAGGTTGTAAAATATGGGAGAATAGAGCGGCAGAGATCTTTTCCAGGGATGCTTGGTCACAGCTTTTCTACCTTTGGCTAATGATATCTATGGCCTTGCTGAGGCTGAGCTTGGTTCAAGAACCAGGAGTGCCTGATGTAGGATATCAAATGGTACAGATTGTTAATATACATTTTTCTAGGATAGTGATATTAGCTGTTAATATAAATTTTTCTAGGATGGTGATATTAGCCTCATGAATAAAAGGGCAGTGACAAAATAAGTACTGAGTTTTTGAGAAACTCTTACCTTGTGCAAAAAGTGTTATAAGCAATTTATATGGTCCTTCACTTAGGGTCTTTGCTATGCTTAAACATGTGGAATCTGCTCCTCCCCTGAATGTGTACCTTGCTTCTCATAAGATTCAGTAGCTTTGCTCAATAAACATAGTAGAACTTTATCTAACCTTACAGTGTCTAACAATCAGAAGCTCATCTGAAAAGATACTTGAAGTACTTAACCATTATTCTTTGAAAAACAAGAATACTAATATATAAAGTAAGGTTATCATGAATGCAAAGAATATTAGGGACACAAAAATTAAATAGACATGCGTGTACTGAAATTTATTGTCAGATTAATTTACTAACTCAAAGAGGAGACCAGGGTTTAGTTAAATCAAGAAAATATGTGAATATCTTGGCTGGGCACAGTGGCTCACAGCTATAATCCCAGCACTTGGGAGGCTGAGGCAGGCAGATCACTGATGTCAGGAGTTCGAGACCAGCCTGGCCAACAGGGTGAAAACTCATCTCTACTAAAAATACAAAAAAATTAGCCAGGCGTGGTGGCATGTGCTTATAGTCCCAGCTACTCAGGAGGCTGAGGCACGAGAATTGCTTGAACCTGGGAGGTGGAGGCTGCAGTGAGCCAAGATCACGCTGTTGCACTCTACCCTGGGTGACACAGAAAAACTCTCTTTCTTTCTCTTCAAAAAAAAAAAAAAGTGAATATCTTAAGAATGTAGAGTGGTCTGTTCCAGGACACTGGGGTTTTCCTAGGCACAATGAAAAGGTTTTGGTGGAAGAGAAACAATGAGAAGTTGAGGGAGGAAAGCAGTGCAGTGTGGAAATAAAAGACGTAAAGAATGAATAGTATGAGGGGATACCTGTTTTGAAGCCTCAACGTAACCAGTAAGTGGTTTTGCCTTATACAGTAGTTCTCTAGATTTTTTTTTCATAGAGTCTTTTGCAAATGTAATGAAAATTATGACTCCTGTTTTCTAATGAAAACACCCCATGTATAATTAGAGGGGTCTCAAATCTGAGAATGCCAAAAACTCAATGGATATGCTTATTAAAGAGGAAATTCTTTGGCTCCATCCAAGATAGAAATCAGGATCTATAGATGGGAGGCACAGATATATATAGCTTGAACAAGTACACCTTAAGAAATATTTAGTTTAATGTAACATGTTAACATATTATGTGTTAAATTACATACTGTTTTAGTTTTAAAACATTTATGAAATATTGTAATATTTAAGAAATATTGTCCTGGCCGGGCGCAGTGGCTCACGCCTGTAATTCCAGCACTTTGGGAGGCCGAGGCGGGTGGATCACAAGGTCAAGAGATAGAGACCATCCTGGTCAACATGGTGAAACCCCGTCTCTACTAAAAATACAAAAAAATCAGCTGGGCATGGCGGCACGTGCCTGTAATCCCAGCTACTCAGGAGGCTGAGGCAGGAGAA